AAACATTTAAATGGAACATAAAATTCTCCAAAACAATGATAAACCATCCCAAAACGGTACATTAAAAGACTCCTAGAAAACTGCAGCGAAACATCCTCCAAATCACCTCAAAACAAATGTTCTAAATCACCTCAAAACAGCTAACATATATTTAGAATAGCTGAAAAAAATTTCAGCAAGTTATAAGACCTCTCCCAATCAGGTGCATATATTTGCTAGCGTCACTTTCAACGAGGATTTATACCTAGCTGCAGTTACTTCTAAGACATCATTCATTCATAAAATATTTAACTTGGATGGCCCTTTCTTGCCCTTCCCCATACCAAACAACTCTATTCCAGAATCACTTCTACGTAAATCAAGACAACACCTTGACTCTCTTTTACTTTGTGACATAATGCAAATCTATTGGGAGAAGAAACTGCATGCGTGAATAATAATTTTTTTTTTTAAAGGTGGATGAGTAAAAAAAAAAGAACAAAACTCAAATCTCATAAATCCTTTCTCTGAATTGGGAAATCTACGATTTAAGGTAATGATTTAACAATAGCAAAAGAATCACCATGAGATTTGAATTAAATTTTGCCCAAAACCAGCTATCAAACAATCATCTAGAGTTTACAGGGATACCTTGCTGAACGAGAGAGAAAAAAAAAGGGAGGCAGAGTGCCTCGATGCAGGGAGGCTGAAGTGAGTGGGGCTCCTGATCGCACGAATGAAGAGTGGAGATGCTTCTGTTGCGCGAGGAAGAAGCAAAGCGGTCGAGAGGGCTTCGGTCGCGCGAGAGATGAGCAAGGAGCTTCGGTTCGCACACGAGGGGGAAACAGGAGTTGAGCGAAGGCTTCGACGTGAGGCAGGGGAGTTCGGTCGAGCACGAGTCTCCATCACAGAGAGGAGAAGCGGTGCTTCGATCGGGAACTGCGATCGAGTCGCAGATGAGCAGGACAACGAAGGAGGGGAGCCGAATGAGGCTTTTCGGTGCAGTGCATATAAGGGAGCGCCGCTGAATTTGTCGAGCGATGAACGAGTAACGGAGGCGAGAGCGT